TTACAAGAATTCAATCTAGAGATAAAAGATAAAAAAGGAACCGAAAATGTAGTTGCAAACCATCTGTCAAGAATAGAAAGCATTAAGCTTGAACAAGTGCCTATCAATGATGATTTCCCATACGAACGAATCATAGCCCAATTGGAAAGGAATATGTCTGAACTACCCTTGAATGATATCAAATCAAAAGAATCAGTGGAAGAAATTCAAGCAAACACAACACTACCGTGGTATGTTGACTTTGTCAACTACTTAGCTGCCGGAGTACTTCCATCAGATCTAACTTATCAACAAAAGAAGAAATTCTTCCATGACCTTAAACAATATTATTGGGACGAGCCTCTGCTTTTTAAGAGAGGTGCCAATGGTATTTTCCGTTGATGTGTCCCTGAGGATGAAATAGAAAACATAATCTCTCATTGTCACTCTACTCTTTATAGTGGACACGCAAGCACTTCAAAGACTTGTGCTAAGATCTTACAATCTAGCCATTTCTGGCCTAATCTATGGAAAGATGTCCATATCGCGGTATTAAACTGCGACCGGTGCCAACACACTGGTAACATCTCTATACGCGATGAAATGCCACAAAAGGATTTTTTAGAAGTGGAAATCTTTGATGTGTGAGGGATTGATTTCATGGGGCCATTCCCACTTCTTTTGGTAATAAGTATATACTCGTTGCTATTGACTATGTTTCAAAATGGATCGAGGCTGTAGCCTCTCCAACAAATGACACACGAGTAATAAATAAGCTTTTCAAAAACATAATCTTCCCTAGATTTGGTGTGCTAAGACTTGTCATCAGTGACGAAGGCTCCCATTTTATATCAAAGATATTTGAAAAACTTCTGTTGGAGTATGAAGTTCGACACCGTGTAGCAACACCATATCATCCACAAACAAGTGGACAAGTCAAAGTCTCAAACAGAGAAATTAAACAAATCTTAGAAAAGACTGTAGTAACCTCTAGGAAAGACTGGGCATCAAAATTACATGAAGCTCTGTGGGCATATAGGACAGCTTATAAGACCCCAATAGGAACCATACCTTTTAAGTTAGTTTATGGAAAATCATATCATCTACCTGTAGAATTAGAGCACAAAGCTTATTGGGCCATTAAGACCCTTAACTTAGACTATACTGCCGCAGGTGAGAGAAGAGTCCTAGACATTCACAAACTAGAAGAACTTCGTTTAGACGCATATGAGAATGCTAGGATATATAAAGAAAGAACTAAAAAATAGCATGACAAGTGAATTTCCCGTAAAGAGTTTAATGAAGGCGATGTAGTGTTATTATTTAATTTACGCCTTAAACTTTTCCCAGGAAAACTTAGATCTAGGTGGTCCGGTCCTTTTATAATAACTACAGTCTTTCCAAGTGGAGCCGTAGAAATCAAAAACAAATCTAGTCAACCATTTGTAGTAAACGGACAACGCTTAAAACATTATCATTGTGTAGACAATAAGGACTACTCCGCTAGTTCAAAGCTTATAGAGCTGCCCGTTCATTCTGAAATTTGACGTTGCACTAGAACTATGTCAGGCTTAAGACGTTAAACCCAACGCTTGGTGGGAGGCAACCCACGTACTTTATTTAATTTCGCAAATTTTATCCCTTCAATACTTCTTACCTTTTATTGCATTTATTTTTAATTTTATTTTTTATGTTTATTTGTATTTTTACTTTCTCTCCTTTATCTCCATTCTGAATGCCATAAGTTATTTTTTTTCATCACTAACTTTGCAAAACAAATTGCCTACTTCCAGGATAACTTAGTTTAGTTAGTAACTAACTTTCACGATGCAACAAGCAGACTACATGGGCATTATTTTCAGAGGCAGAGCTCAGAGAAGGAGATTTGAGGTGTTAGCTCAGAGAGATATGGGTGTCACTATTTACTATGATGGACATACTATGGATAGGTTAGGTATCAGGAATAGTGTTGTGTATTTATTTAGCCAAATGGGGTGGGAGACTGCTGTTTTCCGAAGAATATTTACTTCCTACCGTAAGCTTACCCTTGATTTCCTAAGCTCCCTGACTCACATCCCTAACCATAGCGGGATGGTCACTTTTAGGCTATTTGGTAATGAATATAGCTATAACTATAGAGAACTTGCTAGACTTCTAGGCTTCCCTAGTGGCCCTGATGCGATTACCGTAGTCCAAGAAGAATTACTCCTTAACCTTAACCTGAACTATTTTTGGGGTCACATCACTAGAAATTACAGCCCTAAACCTTTTGGCATATTTTCTGAGAATATCCACAACCCTGCTATCCGATATTTTCATAAGATTCTAGCCCATATCATATTTGGAAAAGAAGAAAACGATACCTCAGTATCGAGAGATAAACTTTTCCTTTTGTACTGTGCCTCCCAGGGCCGACCAGTAAATGCGGCCACCTTTATGATAGAAAATTTTGTTAGTCTTGCTCTGGATGCTCGCGCACTAATCATTATAGGGGGCTTAATCACCATGATAGCAAATTCTATAGGGATGAGACATCCTATGAACAGGCTCAACCCTTTGGGTACCATCCGACCTATGACCATTAATTTCTGTTTTAACCGACAAATCATAGGAAACTTGGGGCCGGATACCTTTGACTACCTGATTGATAATGAGGTTGTCCTTCTTTTCACTCTACCAAACCATGAGCGCACTAGTGTGCAAAACAGAAATAATTGGCTGTACGACCTGAATGAACCAAATAACGCCCCACCATCACCTTCTGAGACTCCACAGATTTATGACCATTATGATGACTATGTTTCCGATGCTGAATCTCACATACCTATTGTAGCTCCTCCACCCATTGATTTCACTGCTGCCATTACTACCTTAGAGAACCGTGTGACTAGCCTACAAGGCGAATTGACCATTATTCGCACTGAATTCCATGGATTTATGGAAATCATAATAAAACAACTGGATCACTTTCATCAACAACTATTTTCCAGAGGACTCTCCATCAATCCAAATCAAAGTGGCTAGGAGAGCATATATTATGACATTCCAACTTCTACACTTAAGCAGTGAGGACACTGTACATTTTAGGTGTGGGAGGAAGGAAGATTTTAATTAGGATTTCCCGTTATTTTTCATTCTTGCATTTTTAAAATTTCACAATAACGTTAATCACTACAAGAAAATTGGCAAATTGCGACGGTTCATTTTGACATATTACGACTGTTTTAACCGTCGCAATTTGTAAGTTACGACGGTTTCAACCCCGTCGCAGAAACGTGCGTCGCGAGGCCGTATTGCGACGGTTGTGAAAACTGTCGTACAAACCGTCGTTATTTTCACGACGGGTAGCTAACTGTTGTAATCTCCATATTGTGACGGTTTTCAACCGTCGTAATTATATTTACTAATTCTAAATATTATTTATTTTCACGACGGGTAGCTAACTGTCGTAATCTCCATATTGTGACGGTTTTCAACCTTCGTAATTATATTTACTAATTCTAAATATTATTTATGCTAGTTGCGACGGTTTAAACCGTCGTAATTTTATCTATAGAATTTTTTTTATAATATTCTATTTTTATTTAAATTACTTTCATCTCATTTTTTTTATAATAGTTTTTTTAATTTAAACTATTTATGTTTTTTGGTAATATATCAAATATATAAAGACTCACGTATATCAAATATATAAAGACTCACATATAACAAATATATAAATTTATATAACTTAAAAAACAATTGATATTTCATTATATCACTTTTCTAAATAACTTATTATATACTTATGAATATCTAAATGATCTAAATGATAAAATATATACTTATTATATTTGCAAACTCTTCAGGATCACTATCGAAGTTATTCAAGTCCTGGAATTTAACAAATTTAGACACATACACACAGATCCAACAAAAAAGTGCAGCAAATCAGAAGATAACAGTTCCATTCCACAATGATTGCGCTGTGATCTTACCCATAAAAATTGGTCCTTTACAAGCGTATGATTTACTCGAAGATCAAGCTGTAAAAAAGAACAACACAACTTTGTCAATAGACAAATACTCTATTAATGACATGTATATTACACCCATTTCCCTTAAGGGATTCTTAAACTAGAGACCTCAGTCATGAATAGTATTAAAAACAAAAGCCAAGGATTCTGACGGAACAAATTTGGTCTATATGCTTGGCAGGTGGCAAGCACACCCAAACAATCAAGAATTGGGAAGGAAAAATAGAGAGGGAAAGCATAATATTCACAATTTTCTCTCCGAGTGCATCACATGTTAACAAGCTAAGGCCTCTACTATACTGCCTACTAGGTTACTACAGTTGTTGTGTATCCCTTCCTAGACTTGAGAATATGTTGCAATGGATTTTATCATGGGCCTTCATTCATCAGTCAACTACACATCCATTTTGATGGTAAATGATCCCCTTCCTAAGAACTGTCATTTTGCTCCTCTCAAATCCAATTATTCAAGTTTGAAGGTTGCTGAAGTTTTCATGAATTTGATAGTTAGGTTTCATGGTTCTCCCAAGAGTATTGTCTCTGACAGAGCCAAAGTCTTCACTGGTAAATTTGGCAACACTTGTTTAAATTAAGCAACATGTCCTTAGCTATGAGCTCCTCCTATCACCCACAAACCGGTGGACAATTAGAGGTTTTCAATAAACGCTTAGTGTTGTGCGTGTGTTGTCTTACTGGCGGTAAACCGAAGGCATGGTAAGAGTAGTTGCTTGAGCAGAATTTTGGCAATAATACCTCTTGTCACACAAGCAATGAAATAACTCCTTCCAAAGTCCTGTCTCACTTATACATAATGACAATGACAACTAGCAACAATTCAAAAGAACAGTAAAACTTTTTTAGGGTTAATGTACCTATGCATAAAGGACTTTTGTGCCTCACTTTCCATATCTGCTATTTTATCCAACAAGAACTTAGCTGTACCTTTCCCATCACCAAATCCTTCTATGAAAAAAAAACTCATTAATCAAAATAACAATGTGAAAATCAACCAATATACGTCGATTTTGGGGAACCAATAATAACAATTTCATAAAGTGTAGCCTTCTGTATCTGCTTCTTCCTACCAAATTCAATACAAAAATCTGACCCACTGTTCTTGAACCACTTTCCGTCTGATAGAACGACAAATGTTAATCCTTTAAATGTGTCATCATTGACCTCTATATCTAAGGACTGGACCTGGAAATTGTATTACTATCATGAGAATTTTTAAACTCGAATTTCAAAGGCCTAATAGGTTAAAATACAACTTTGTATTGTTGCTGTAGAAACCTCGGGAGAAGGATCAGATGAAGAACCAGCTTTAAAAGGTGTTTCTACAGCCTTATCCATAATAACAGACCCTGGGGGTAGAGAACTTTCTGGTGGTACCTAAGATTGACATTAGGTTCCAGGTTAGTACAAACCCAAAGAGATATACAATTCAAACATTCACAGATTTTGAGTTAATATGACACAAGATTTTGTGATCAAAACATAAATTACTTCACCTTAAACTCACTTCAACTAAAATCAACCTTATAAAATCAATTCAGTCAGAAACAATTTTCGTTAGAGAACACAACACATAGTAAGTTAACTGAGCAGTGCAAATGTTGCTGGTGGCCTTGTCTCTACGAATATGGCTCAATGAAAGCAGGATTAATGAAGACACCCTGCACAGATATCAGACCTGAATGAAATGTAAAATGACAACATAGCTTGCATGGGTAAGAGAATTAAAGACATGAAGAAAGTAATATAGATTGAACCCAACAAGCGGCGGCAGACCCACATTAGTTGCATCTTAGCAGAATGAATACATGTGCGGTGCAAGATTTGTATTGGATTTAGAAATAGAACTTACTAGCAAGTCACATCTAATGAACATCTAATGAACTTACTAGCAGCTTTTGCATTCCTCCACGGTCCACAAATAGTGCAGCAAATTTCCTATGGGTAGCTAAAGCACATATCAGCTTCATGACATCGGGAAACAGGAAAGCAACCTTGGATAGATCCTGATGTTTAGAACTTTACTGCAAAAGTCCAAGACAAATATCAACCCCCTTCTCGTGCAATACAGGTCCCAGAACTTCTACATATTCTCCAAGTAACGCAAGACACTGAATGCAATATTTTCCCCTCAATTGTGTAAGCATTTGAATGTCTAGGATGAAATAATCTTCAACATCCTCACTAGATTCTGTTTCTCGGCCACTAACATTCTGTCTCTGTACTAATGCAGACAGATTTCCTGTGACCAACCCAATAAGAACATTGTCAACAGGACTAAAAGAACCTATCTGGTAATTGTTTGTCTGAGCATTTAAATTGCTCGTAATATTATTCTCATGTACCTTGAAACTTCAATAACAGATGCAACATCGATAACAGTTGATGCAGCTCTAGAAGCAGCCAAAAAAGCTACCTCTTCATTGTTCGTGGATTTGTATTCCTGAATATTATACATGAAATAAAATGTCATTTCAATTGTGAAAATAAAATATGCAGTACTGCACACCGACACGTATTTTTGCAAAAGTATAATTTTTTGTAGTGGAAAAAAGTGAATGAGCATTGGCATACCTCTAAAGCTACAGTTTTAACAAGATCAACAGCAGCATCACCAGCAGCTTTGACAGCTTCTTCAGGGGCATTGTCTGATCTAGCTTCAGCCTCAGCATCAACCAGAATTTTATCCATCCCATGATTCCAGTCTTGTAAATAATTAATGGCCATCCAATTGCTATGAAGCGAAAAACACAAGCTAAACTTATCTTCACTCTCTTTACTTTATTGGGTCTGAACTTCGTCAAATCGAAATGAACGACCAACTTGAAAGGAATTAGGACGCGTCATGATTCTGTATAAACTAAAATACTAAATGTCAAAAATAATTGAAAGCAAGGCTGATTAGGAAGTGTTTAATGCATTTCAAGACATATAGTTGATCATACCAGTGAGCTATAGACATCCAGCATCAAAGTCGACCGTGTCCATTTATTATTGCTTTTCTCAAAAGTGGATTTGACTCAATATGGCCTTTCCAAACAGGCTGCCAAGCAGTACCTTCTTTCAACCTGTATCATTAAAGATGATTTACAGTAATGAAACAGAAACGCTACAGCTTCAGTCCATACATGGATGTTAATATTACACATCTTATACAGTGCTTTGATTTATGCATGCAGCCTGAATTTTACACTTTCAATTGGTTTTTCAAGGCTAAAAAAAACACAAGTTTCACACTTCATGCATTGAGTATAAGTGTACGCAACACCATTATAGCAGCCACTATTGACATAGAGCAAACCACTCTCAAAGATGAGAATATGAACACTTGGTTAATATTCACTTAACCGGTTAACTAGATTACTAAAGTGCGGGATTTTTACTTCAATCTCCCTTCCCAATGTGAAGGCAAATCGCCACACATCACATGAGTTTGCAAGACATCACTAAATATAGGTTTCGATGATGACGAATTACAACCATGGATGAATTGGCAATTGTAAATTCCAACTCTACCAAACAAATGCAATGTATCACCTACCATATCCTTTTACATTTGTCTAAAAACTGTTATAATAAATATAATATGTGTAGATAAAATGTGGTCGTGACAAGAGGCATGAAAAACCACAAGAATATCAATTTTTGCAAGTTTGCAGGGCATGAGTCGACCATAGGGTCGGCGCATGCATCAGTGCATTTTTCAACTGGTCAGTGCATGAAGCTTTGAGTCGATCGCAGGGTCGGCGCATGAAGAAATTACTCTTCAACGGGTCAGCGCACGCCGACTGTATGGTCGATGCATACTGATACATTTTGCAGATTTCCAAAAGTGCAGGCTATGCGTCGACGCACAGACCTGCTGTGGTCGACCGTTCACGCGGAAATACAGTTTTTAAGTGATTCCCTTTATTATTTGAAAAGCTGTTATGTCTTTGGTTGGTCTGGTACTATATATACAAGTTCAACCACTTATGTCATTTCAACATTTAATAAAAACTGATTCATGTGTTCAAGAATAAGAAAGAGTGAAATAGGTGTCCAAGATTCATCATCTTCATCTTCAACATCTCACAACACATCAATTACACACAACCATTTTTGAAGTGCATTGTGAGTGATCAAAGGTGATAAGGTTCGAAGCTTAGATTGGGTAATCTAGTTCGGGTTGAAGCTTGTGACAGGTTCTTTCTTGAATAAAACCGTTAGGGTTTTATCCTCCAAGATTGGTTTAAATTTTGGGGGTTTTTGGACGAGATTCTTCATCAAGGATCAACTGAGCGAAGGTGATTGTGAAGAGGTGTTCTTCAACAGTCTAGTAGTGGATTCAGTGATATTGAGGGGAAGATCTCGGGTTCGATTCATTGCAGTTGAGATCAGCCGGAGCCGAAGGTTTGAAGAACTAAGGGTTATTCAATAAGGTGGTTGGAATTGGAGGTCTATCAACAACGATCGGAGGACTTGATTCATCTTGAATCAAGGGGCAAGGAGTGAAAGCAACATTCAACGTATTGAGAATTCTGTTGTATATTTGTTGTTCAATCCTTGTATAAACTGTTACATTCAACATGTGATATCTATTAAATCTATCTCAATTCTAGTTTTAGAATTGAGGGCAGACGTACCCCGAAGCGAGGACGACGGGGGAACTACCTCACCAAATACCTTTCTTCTCTATTTTTTAGCATTTTCGTTTTCGCTTAAAAATAAGTGATTTTTGTATAAGCACTATTGTCAAACTGTGATATCAATTGAGTAAGAGGTTAAAACTCTGTTTTTGAATCCAAAGTACAATAAGACATTGTACTAGGCTAGTTGGAATCACTTACTCAACATAAATATCACTTGGAGTGTTTTTGCACGCCAAGTGTTCGACAAATTGCCTAAACCAAAATTATCTTATTTGTGTATCTAGTTTTGGTTTGCTCTTTAAATCATTGGAACTAGGAATCCTAACAAGTGAATTAGATCATTGATAAGTGTGATTAGTGTTGTGATTCTCTTTTCCATATTGTCATTAATCCCAAGGGTTATCGCATATCCGGTTTTCCAATAACCGTTCGTTTTAGACTATAATTTTCCTCGGCCGCTTCCGCACTTAAAACATATTTTCAAAACCAATTTTTAAATTGGTAGCGCCGACTCAAATTTTTAATTGGGATCTATTCAACCCCTCTTCTAGATCCGTGCCATAGTCTAACAAGTGGTATCTAGAGCTCCGGTTACTCGGTGCTTCAAATACAACGTTGATAGAAAATGGCTAACGAACCAAAAGGGGCGTACAATAGAGCTCCCGTTTTCAACGGTGAAAATTATAGTTATTGGAAAGACTGTATGCGGGTGCATATAAACTCCATAGACAGAAAAATATGGAACGTTATCCTCAATGGTCTAATAGAAATTACTATGACCAATACGGATAATGTAGTTGTGCCAAAGCACGAAGCACAATGGACCGATGACGATGAGAAAAAATACAATTATGATTGGAAAGCCAAAAATATCTTAATCTCCTCATTAGGTGTAGATGAATACTATTGTGTATCCCATTGTCCTACTGCTAAGGCCATGTGGGATTCACTACAAATCGCCCATGAGGGGACGAACGATAATAAGTTGGCTAGAATCAACACATTAACACAAGAGTTTGATCTCTTTTTCATGGAGCAAGGGGAAACCATTGCTGACATGCAAAAGAGATTTACTCATCTCATCAATCGTTTACATTCATTAGGTAGGCCTGTTTCCAATGATGTTGCTACTAACAAGATCTTGAGATGTCTTAACAGGGAATGGCAGTTAAAAGTGACCGCCATCAAAGAAGCACATGATCTTACCTTATTAGACTTGACAACATTGTTTGGCAAACTACAAGAGCATGAACAGGTACTCTTGAGCCTAGACCAACGCGAAAAGATGGAAAAGAAAGACAAAACGAAGGTGAGTGAAAAGAAATCGATAGCTCTTAAGACTTCCTCCTCGAAGTCTCAAGCAAAAGAGCAAAGTGATTATTCCTCAAGCGACAAAGAAGAAGAGGATAAGAGCGAAGATATGGGGTTGTTCGTTAAACAGTACAACCGTTACGTGAGAAAGAACGACATCCAACATTCCAAGAAGAACTTGGTAAACTTCCGGAAACAATCGAGGTACTCCAAAGATGATGACTCAAAAGGTAAAAAGACTAGAGGGACGTGTTACAAGTGTGGGAAGCCCGGTCACTACAAACCGGACTGTTCGATGAACAAAAAGCCAAAGGAAAAGGAATCATCAAAGTCATACAAGAAATCATCAAAGCCAAGGAGAGCGTACATAGCATGGGAAAGCAATATCGACTCTTC